ACAGGCCTCTTAACACCTAGTTTATAGCCTGAGGAGTCAGGCTCTTATGGGCAGAGGTGCTAATAGTCTATTGACAACAGTTTCTGGGAAATGGCATGGAAGGCTATAGAATACACAGTTTTGGGTTACACCCATACCATGATGAACTCAGCTGTCCTAACTAGGACACATCCATGTAGATCAGCTGGGCAAGAGCAGTTGATCAGGAAATGCAGTTGCATCCTCAGAGATTGGTTTAGTGCTGGTGTCAAGAATAAAATTCTCAATGCTCCAAGGAGCAGTTCATCAGGAAAGGCACGACAGGGGAGGTGACTCCTGACTAGGTTCAGAGCAGTGTACATGGCTTGACTGATAACATGGTTTTTTTCCACAGAGCAGTCCTGGATGAGGATGTAACAGGCAAAGAGAACAGAGGACAAGACTGTAGTGTTCAGTCACTGCAGAAATACGTACTTCACCCACAGCTTGCACATGTTTGCTTGCCTAAGGACAGAGCTGTAGATAGGAGAATGTACAGTGATAGTCAGAGCTTGACCAAAGATGGTAGATAACTTCCCTAACAGGAAGGTGTAAATGTGCAAGTCTTCACAGTCGGCACGAAATGGCTGAGAGAGGGAGCTGGAGACACTCCAGACCTTTCTAAAACTATGAAGTGGCTGAATAGGAAATGAATGTTTCCAGTCTCTCTCAAAACCAGAATGGGGGACACTGAACAAAACAAGCAGAAAGCACATCCAGAACAAACAACTCAGTTCTCCAAGCTGATTTGGAGGAGGGCCCCTAGAGAGAGGATGTGTTCCTTTGGGCTGTGCACCAGAAGGAGAAGGGCCTTAGCACTGTCCATTCCTGTTGTGGTCACTCTGCCTGACATGTTGGTTCTAACACCCTTCTAACCTTTATGTGGCACCACTCATGGAATCTCCTCTCTGAATGCCCAGCAGGCTGTTGCAGAAGGGGAGCAGCTGTCATGGCTCTCAGAGAAGAGACTCATGTCACAGAGCCTGGAATGTCTGCAGCGAACAGTTGCAAGGCTGGAAGATGAAAAGGTGGAGCTGAAGCAACAAAATGCTGAGCTCAGGAGGACTCTTGAGCAGGTAAAACAGGCTTTCTTGCTGCCTCTGCAAAGCCTCATGGTCCTCTGAACCATGACACATTTCCGCAGGCAGCACTTTGGATTCCTCTTCTTGTTTCCTTCCCTCTCCTTCTTCCTGCTGTGGACACACACTTTGCATTTTCTCTCTCTTCTGGCACCCCATGGCCTTCACAAATACACCTTCACTGCAGTGCCACCCTCCTTGCCCCAGCGTCCCCAGACACACACTTGCCTCTCTTCCATAGCCCACATCGAGTCCTTTTTTGTTCTCTGGTGCAATTAAGGGTCTCTGAGCAGAGATCTCCTTGCCTTGATGTCCAGAGGTCCTTTTGCTCCCTGTTTGGTGGCAGGTTTCTGTGACCCTTTCTCCCATCCAATGTGCAGGTGGAACGTGAGCGGAGGAGGCTGAAGAGATGTTTTAGGGATCAGATGCTCCCAGATGCCTTTGGATTGTCTCTCTCCCAGTCTGACCAGCACAAAGTGTCCACCTCTAGACAGGTGAGAACAGAATCTTCCCTGGTGAGGGGAGGCTCTGGCCATACAAGGGACAAGGGCAAATCCCAGTGGCAGCGGCCCCCCAGGAGAGACCTAATGGTAGTCAAGTATAGACCATGCCCTGACCAAGCTGCAGACTAAAATGAAATCTTGTGTTTTATTCACAGGAGGAGTCTCACGCTCACTGCAGTCAGCGGTTAGCTGAGCTACAGAACCAGGTGAGGAGTAGGAAAACTCTCCTCAAAAGCTGCTGTGGCTCTACTGATGGGCACAACTTTGCACGATGCTCCAAGCTGAGTTTTGTTTGGCTGTCAGGAAGTGAGTGCACCAGGCAGTGTCAGTTCTGCGCCTGTTGGCAACAACCAAACAACATCCTTCACCTCAGTCTTGTCTCTGGCTTGCCTAAAGGTCAGGCAGGGTGGGATAGGGGTGGTAGAAAATTCAGAACACTGGAACTCACCTGAAAATATCAAGATCATAGAATGATGACATCCTTAAGGCTGGAAAAGCCTTATGAGATCATCTAGTCCAGCTGTTAGCCCTGTACTGTCAATCCCAAACCTAAACTGTGCTCCTGAGCACCACAATTACATGCTCTTTGAACACTTCCAGGGATGGTGATTCCACCATTCCCTGGGTAGCCTGTTCCATGATGTTCCCTTTTGTTGCCTGTCCCCATTTTCCCTTGCCTCCATTAGCAGTGGAGAGGTCCAGGGCTCTGAGGCAGTGCCAGAGCTGAGCCTTCAGACCATCCTCGGTCTCCTCTTGCTGTGCTGTGCTAATCACCCTGCTGTGGGACCGAGTCAGAGACCTCAGCACTCTGAGGATGTTTGGTTTGTCAGTGTAAGAATGTTCATTCCAGCTGCTAAACCCTGTTGCATCCTTTGCACAGCAGGAGGTCAAACCGAGCAGGAGGTGGGAGCAGCTCTGCCCCTGGCCAGCCCAGCAGGCACAACCCCGTGGGGTCAGGAAAGAGCAGAGTTTGAGGAGTTCCAAGGCTTCAGCACTGCTGTAAGGCCCCTGGGCTTTGTTCTCCACATTCTTCTGCGCTCATGTGTGGGATGCTCTAAAGTTTGGGAGAGGGAGAATTTGCTCCTTTTCCCTGGGCTGGCTGTCAAGATGCTCAAGCAGAGCAGTTCTCCAGTACCCCGGGTAAGCAGCAGCCTTCCTGCTGAGGCACAGCCTGTGGAACTAAGGGCTCATGGCCCAGATTTGAAAATCAGAGCTAGGTTAGTAAATCCTGTTGGAACTCTCTCTCTAATAGACCTGTGATGGCTGAGGGTTGTACGTGGGAAGGGTTGGCCAGCAGGAAACTTGACGTGTTGATAAGCTGAGCTCTGTTCAGGGGACTCTGGGAGCCTGTTCCTTTCCCTTCCACAAGGTCCCAGTGTTTGTCAGGGCTGGTCAAGGCCGTGTCTGCCCCAACTGCTGGCACTGTGGAGCTACGGATGGTCCTGACAGCGTGGGCTCATCTGAGCTCAGCTTTGTGCCTCTTTCAGGTGTCCCTCCTGCAGTCACAGCTGGCACGAGACCGACAGCACAGGCAGAACTACATTGAGAGCTGTGCAAGGACCAACCAGGAGCTGTCAGACCTTCACCACGAGCTGTCTTGCTCCTTAGCAGCTGTGCTCAGGGAGCCCAGAGCTGCTGTTCTGGAAGCAGAGACTCAGAAGCTGGATCAGTCTCTGAACTTGGCACTGATGTCCCTGGACTGTCAGTCTCCCGAGAGACAGAGGGTGCATCCAGCAACCCAACCTGCCAGAAGCGACCTGAGGTAACAGCACCTCTGGTCTCCATTTGAACGGAAGGATTTCTGCTAAGACGAAGAGCTCTTGGATGTGAGAAATGGGATGAACTCCTCGGGGCAGGGCTGCTCCCTGCCTTTTCCCTCTGTTTCTCTCACAGTCAGCTGGTGCTGTCAAACCTCACCTTACGCTGAGGATTAGGATCTATGAAGTGTTATCTCAGGCAGATGATTTCTGGGGACAAAATGTGAATATGTGAGAACGAAGACATAGGTAAGGAGAGAGAATGATGTGTGGAGAAGGAAGCCCAAACACGAACAATCCCTGAACAGTAAGACTTTGGGGTGACATCTGTCCGAGGGCAGCTGCTCAAATAAAATAAAAGGACATAAAGGTTGTGCTACAAACAGTTAAAGTAGCATGACAGCATTTGTTCTGTTTGCTTTTCCAATCATCTCCTAAGGACAGACACTTAAATGTTTTTCCTAATAAAATGTTTTTAATAAAATTTTTTTAGAAGAAGGTTATACATATCTTTACCTGGCCCAATGAGGCTGTTGTGTGATTTCCCCTCTTGAGAGCAGAGCTGTTTCCTGCCAGGAGAAATGGAAATTTGAGGAAAGGGGTGGAGAGAACACAATGGGGATCAAAGGTGGGAGAGAGAGAGGGTTTCCCTCCCCTTTTCCCTCCCCTTACCACCCCCCTTTCTCCCTTCCCTTTTTTCCCCCCCTTTTTTTTACCCCCCTTTTATTCCCTGTCTTTTCCCTCCCTCTTTTCTCCCTCTCTTTCCCCCTTCCCCTCCCCTTTCTCCCCTTTTTGCACCCCCTCTTTCCCCTGCCCCCTTTTCCTCCCCTCTTTT